GACAAGAATGTTCTGGAGCTAGACAGCCTCCTTGAATGTGCTGAGTGCATTGAATTGCTCACCTGAAAATGGCTAATTGTACATTGATGTGACTTTCACCTTAAAGGTGGTGCTCGGCTCATCTTACTGCCTGTTGGGTGTGCAGAGTGCCCATGTAGACGTGTTGTGTGGAGGCAGGAGGCACAGGTAGTGAGGCCCCCCAAGCTCCCTGTCAAGATCAGTCCTGTGGTGCCCCCGAGCCGTGTTAGGCCCGGGTGTGCGTGGACCTGACTGAGACACCCCAGCTGTGGTTTGTGTGAGAAGGAGCAGCAGCAGAGCACCGGGGTGGGGTGCAGGCTGGCCCCCCACAGTCCCGTCGAGGGCTGTTGGCCCGAGCGTGGCTCTGCTCTGCCTGTGGCATTGGGCGATCCAGGTGAGGTGCTAACTTCCAGGTAGAGGTAGCAGTATGTATTTTATAGGGCTTGCATTAATACTAATGATGCATGTTAAGAAAGATCTCAGCAGTGATAATGAGATCACTGCTGAGATCAGTGATCACTAACAAAGACACGAATAAAATAAATCTGAAGGGTTTGTTCTCTTTGGAGATTTATATTCTGTAAGTGGAGTTGTCTTTCAGTATCCTCAGGGGGTTGATTGCAGGACCGCCTGAGGATACCCACATCCAAGGATGCTCTCATCTCTTAGATAGATGGTGTTGTATCTGCACATAACCTACACACATCCTCTCTTATACTTCATGGCATGTACCTAATACAGTGCAAATGCTGTGTAAACAGTTGTTGCTGAAGGAGACAAGTTCAAGTCTTGCTTTTGGGAACTTTCTGGAAATTTCTTTCCCAAATATTTGTGATCTGAAGTTGGTTGAGTGAGTGGATAGAGGGCTGACTGTTCCTCAGAAACTCTCCTGGATCTTGTGTCCCCGCGTGTGGTGCGCCTAACCTCAGCTGGTCTGCCCGAGACCACCTGAGCGCCAACCCTAGTCCCCCGCACAGCCCCATTTCCGCTCCAACAAGATGAAAGAAACTATCATGAACCAGGAGAAACTCACCAAACTGCAGGCACAAGTGCGCATTGGTGGGAAAGGAACTGCTCGCAGAAGGAAGAAGGTGGTTCATAGAACAGCCACAGCAGATGACAAAAAACTTCAGTTCTCTTTAAAGAAGTTAGGGGTAAACAATATCTCTGGTATTGAAGAGGTGAATATGTTCACAAATCAAGGAACAGTGATCCACTTTAACAACCCTAAAGTTCAGGCATCTCATCCTCTGGATGCTACATTTCGTATTGCTCAACTGGAAAAAGAATAAAGTTCTGACCCACTAGCACAGGAATGTGATGACATCGCATTGAGTGAAAGAAGCCAGGCATGGAACACATAGCCTTTGGGTCCGTTTCTGGGAAGTGTCCAGAAAAGGCAAATAAATGATTTGTTGCCAGGGCTGGGGGAGGGCAAGCCTTTGGGCAGAGTGGGGAGTGACTGCTCATGGGTACAGGTTCTCTTTTTGTGATGACAAGAATGTTCTGGAGCTAGACAGCCTCCTTGAATGTGCTGAGTGCATTGAATTGCTCACCTGAAAATGGCTAATTGTACATTGATGTGACTTTCACCTTAAAGGTGGTGCTCGGCTCATCTTAACTGCCTGTTGGGTGTGCAGAGTGCCCATGTAGACGTGTTGTGTGGAGGCAGGAGGCACAGGTAGTGAGGCCCCCCAAGCTCCCTGTCAGGATCAGTCCTGTGGTGCCCCCGAGCCGTGTTAGGCCCGGGTGTGCGTGGACCTGACTGAGACACCCCAGCTGTGGTTTGTGTGAGAAGGAGCAGCAGCAGAGCACCGGGGTGGGGTGCAGGCTGGCCCCCCACAGTCCCGTCGAGGGCTGTTGGCCCGAGCGTGGCTCTGCTCTGCCTGTGGCATTGGGCGATCCAGGTGAGGTGCTAACTTCCAGGTAGAGGTAGCAGTATGTATTTTATAGGGCTTGCATTAATACTAATGATGCATGTTAAGAAAGATCTCAGCAGTGATAATGAGATCACTGCTGAGATCAGTGATCACTAACAAAGACACGAATAAAATAAATCTGAAGGGTTTGTTCTCTTTGGAGATTTATATTCTGTAAGTGGAGTTGTCTTTCAGTATCCTCAGGGGGTTGATTGCAGGACCACCTGAGGATACCCACATCCAAGGATGCTCTCATCTCTTAGATAGATGGTGTTGTATCTGCACATAACCTACACACATCCTCTCTTATACTTCATGGCATGTACCTAATACAGTGCAAATGCTGTGTAAACAGTTGTTGCTGAAGGAGACAAGTTCAAGTCTTGCTTTTGGGAACTTTCTGGAAATTTCTTTCCCAAATATTTGTGATCTGAAGTTGGTTGAGTGAGTGGATAGAGGGCTGACTGTTCCTCAGAAACTCTCCTGGATCTTGTGTCCCCGCGTGTGGTGCGCCTAACCTCAGCTGGTCTGCCCGAGACCACCTGAGCGCCAACCTTAGTCCCCCGCACAGCCCCATTTCCGCTCCAACAAGATGAAAGAAACTATCATGAACCAGGAGAAACTCACCAAACTGCAGGCACAAGTGCGCATTGGTGGGAAAGGAACTGCTCGCAGAAGGAAGAAGGTGGTTCATAGAACAGCCACAGCAGATGACAAAAAACTTCAGTTCTCTTTAAAGAAGTTAGGGGTAAACAATATCTCTGGTATTGAAGAGGTGAATATGTTCACAAATCAAGGAACAGTGATCCACTTTAACAACCCTAAAGTTCAGGCATCTCTGGCAGCAAATACTTTCACCATTACAGGCCACGCTGAGACAAAGCAACTGACAGAAATGCTCCCCAGCATCTTAAACCAGCTTGGTGCCGACAGTCTGACCAGTTTAAGGAGACTGGCTGAAGCTCTGCCCAGACAGTCCGTGGATGGAAAAGCACCACGTGCCACTGGAGAGGAGGAGGAGGATGAAGTTCCAGATCTTGTGGAAAATGTTGACGAGGCCCCCAAGAACGAAGCACACGGAACTGAGCTAACTTCTGAAGAAAATGAATCTTGAGGAAGTTCCTGGGAGCTGCTATTTTATATTATGACTGCTTTTTAAAATTTTGTTTATGGATCTGATAAAATCTAGATCTCTAATATTTTTAAGCCTAAGCCCTTGGACACTGCAGCTCTTTTCAGTTTTTGCTTATATACAATTCATTCTTTGCAGCTAATGAAGCTGAAGAAGCCTAAGAATAAAGTTTGAGACAAAGATAAATAAAGTTCTTTGCCTAGTATATGGTTTTATTTTTTATTTCATTGATACCAATTTGTAAACAGAAGGCAAAATTGTTTATAGAAAGCTAATCATGGCATGTAATATGACTGATAATGATGAATGGAATCTGATTAAAGGTTTAAAATGACAGTATAAAAAAAAAAAGAAGAAGCTCTCCTGGAATAGTATGGAGAGAGTGGATTTCCCCCTCAGAAGCCTTTCACTGCACTGGCCCAGAGATCTGCAGTCCCATGAAGACGGGGCTCAGAACTTGGCACTAGGGTCTTAGAGGGCCAGGTCAGGTCCACGCGTGCAAGCAGGAGAGTAAGTCGGCAAAAAGCTGCCTGAGCAGCTGGGCAGAGCATCTGGGCACAGAGAGTCTCTGACTGGAAACCGTGGTGTTGGCAGGGTAGAGGTCATTCATCTGATCAGAAGGGCAGGACCCCTGCCACCTCACCCCTGCCATCTGCACAGCTATGTCCACCCATGATGGTCAGAAGTGGGGCAGCCTTGTGTACTGGGCTGAGATACTGACGTTGATGCTGTGCTCGCGGTTTTCTGGAGCTGTCTCCACTATGTGACCCGCCCTGTCAGCGCCCACACCTCAGCCGCTCTCAGCGCCTGGGGCTGAGCTCTGCTGGACCTGGGCTCCGCAGGGGCTCTTGGTGCACCAGGGCAGAGGGCTGGAGCTGGCAGCACTGCCCCCCGTGGCCCATGCGCCATGGGGCACACTGACTTACGACCTGTGAGCACGCAGCATCTTCACAGATGTCACTTGTCAGGATTGCCCACGAGCCAGTCACACTGTCCTCATGGTGCTCCTCTGAGTAAGAGCTGCTCTTGCTGTGGGCTCGTCATCTCTATCGCCCTTGTACCCCTATGGGCGTGACTGGGGGTTCCATCCTGTCTGAGGGTGGACAGTGTGAGGTAGGGTCGCAGCTCACCTGTCAATTCTTGGTCAGCTGGTAGAGAGTTTCCCCAAGAACCCAGCCGCTGGGTGTAGGAAGGGGTGTGGCCTGGGCCCTCCCTGTGTGGTCCCTGGGATGCGTGTACTTGGCTTCACCTTCAGGCCAAGTCCTGCTATTCCGCATTTTGTCTCAGTTCTCATGCCCCCCCCCNCTCAGTTCTTATGCCCCCCCCCCCCGCCCCCGACTCTTCTGTCGCCTCCCTGGGCTACACCATGAGGCTGGGCAGGAAGTGAGTCACATGTAGTGGTCGCCCTGGCCAGGCCAGGGAGGACAGTGGGACAGAGAAGCCTGGGCGTCTGGTTGTGGGGGAGTCTGTCAGGCTGAATGCTTGGTCCCTTGTGTTCCGAGTCTCCCCAGCAGGCAGGAGACTGGCTGCTGTACTTGGAAGCAGGAAAGGCCATTGGGCAGGTGGTGAGCTAATGGGGGCTCAACAGGTGGATGTTGAAAGAAGCTCCTGTTTGGGCTCAAGCTTCCCTTGGCAGCTCGGGAGGCTGTGACAGGTGCCAGTTACCATGGGTGGTGCAGCTCAGAGCAGCTGGAAACATCCCCTCTGATGAGCAGGCTGGGTTTCTGGTGACTAAGCAGGTGGGGTTGCTGAGCAGGTGGGGTTGCTGATGCCTGTGGGGGGGTCACTTTTTCTGAGAGGACCTGGGGACAAGGACCATAGGCACCACTCAGTCCTAGTTCTGGAGAGTGGAATCCCCAGTGTCCCCACATTCCCTGGGTCCCCAGTGCCGCCTCCCCAGCCCTGACCCTGTCTCTGCCCTCGTGTGCCAGGTGAGCCTGAACAAGGTGGGCGAGTATTGGTGGAGTGCCATCCTGGAGGGCGAGGAGCAGATCGACATCGACAAGATCAACAAGGAGCGCTCCATGGCCACGGTGGACGAGGAGGAGCACGCCGTCCTGGACAGGCTCACCTTCGACTACCACCAGAAGCTGCAGGGCAAGCCGCAGAGCCATGAGCTGGTACGGGCACGCACCCTTCCTGGGGCTTGAGCTGGGGTGGACGGGGCATGCTGCTGTCTGTGCAGCTGCCTCCTGGGTCCCGACATGGCAGCCCGGGCCTGGTCACCGCCTGGGATGGGGCTCTGGTTCCGTGCCTGGACCGAGAGCCCAGGTGGCAGGGCTGAGAGGTGCCTGTCCAGAGGGTCCTGGTAATGCCAGCTCCCTCCCCTCAGCCCCTCCAAGACCCTCAGTACAGGAGGAACAGCCTGGCACCACCCTGCCTCAGGTCCAGTGCAGGTTTGATCACAAAGGACCAGTGGGAAGAAAATTCTTCCAAGTCACTTTTGAAGTCAGAGGCCTGAGAAGTGTGGCTGGCCAGCAGCCACAGAAGCCAGGAGGACATCAGTGACTGGAGAGGAGACTCCTCCGGAGCCTGTGGTGGCAGAGATGAGGATTAGACATGTGCTGTCTTCTCCTGTTTGATACTCCCAAGAGTGGCTGTTTAGAGAAGAGAGTTCCAGTCTCAGTGTCCCAAGTAAACCGCATGGGGATTTAAGAGGGGGCTTGAGGTGTAGATGTCACAGCACATGTTCAAGGTCCCGTAGCTGGTCTGGCAGCAGGGTGGGGTTTGAACCCGGAGCTGGTGTCAGGCTTGTCTGTCATCCCTCCCTGAGTCTCTGAATCGTCTCTTGATCTGGTTTGCCAACCTTCCCTGGGCTTATGCGGCTGGAGGCCAGGACTGTGGTTGACCATTGGCTCCCAGGCACCTGGTGGTCTCATCTGTGGAAAGTGGTCTCAGGCTGTAATCCCCGAGCTGGCCTAACACAGGACGTGGAGTGCAGCCACCTCTGCATGTTTAGATGGCGGTTTTATCCAGTTAATTCTGCATTTGCCTGCAGCCACCAGATGAAAGAGCAGTCTGAACACCAGCCTGATTGGAGAGGGCCCTGGGCAACTGTTTAAAGTTTGGGTGTCCGACCCCAGAGTTGGCAGGCATTTAGCCATGAGGTCTAAATAAGAAGCAAGAGGTCCCTGCTGATGAGCTCAGGGCTGGGATCCACCGATCCAAGAAGCATCTGAAGAGGAAACCAGAAGACACTGGTCTGATGGAAAGACTTCCGTGGTTTGAGTCAGAAGTGGTTCTGGCAGGACTTGCCATGGGCCCAGCAGTGCTGACCGTGATGGCACAAGTGCCTGGCAGAGTGCAGTGCCCTGTGGAGACCTTCAGTAGACACATGGGAGCCCTTGGATGGTGGGGCAGGTGGTGGGACTCAGTGGTGACCCCTTGTCCAGCTAACCTGCTCCTGGACAGCCCGGTGCCTCAGGGCTGTGTTAGGAGAGGCAGGGGCACCAGCACTGCTGTCTGGAACTCCTCTGGGCTCAGCAGGGGTTGGGAACGAATGTCTGCATACGGGGCCTGGCCTCCCAGGCTTCCTCCTGGACTGTCTTTGGCACACGGGGCCTTGAGGGACGCGCAGTGTGGGGAGCCGGTTTGGAACCGAGAGAAAAGCGTGGAGGCATGAGGAGCCGGCAAAGCTTGCGTGGCCTAGTGATGAGGCAGCTGGCCTCTGCGGTGTCGAAGCCCTGCACAGTCACCGTGGTCCCCGGAGGAAAGTGTCCCAAGGAGAGGAGAGTCAGCACAGCTGCAGGTGCCTGGATGAGGGTGGTGGGAGGAGAGGCGGCTTAAGAAAGTAGGAGGTGAGGGGCCTGGGGCAGCACCAGCGTGGGGAGCGGGCTGAGGTCCCTGTGGGGCTGGAGCAAGAGGGCTCGTCAGACTGCCCATGACGAGGCTGGGGCACAGGGCATTGCTGTGGGTCAAGCTCAGAGGGTGTGTCTCAAGTCAGAGCTCACTGGAGAGGGTTTGTCTCAGGATGCTCAGAAGAGGGGCGTGGAGTGAGACTGAGAAGGAGCGGGCTCAGAGGGGGCGGTGGGCACCCGCTGGAGGAGGCGGGACGGGCTGCAGATCACCCTGTGCTGGCACCCGGAGTCACGCGTGTGGCCGGGGCCTGGGCCTCTCTGGTCCCTTCTCGGGGCGGCCTGCAGGCAGCAGCGCTGGAGGTGCCAGGTGCTCTTTCTAAGGTCCTTGGTGTGTGTCAGGGGGACCAAGTCGAGAGTGTTACATACTGCTTGTCTTTGACATGTTTGCTGCTGCACCACTTAGGTGTAATAACAGGGCAGGAGCCCTGCAGTCTTGTCAGACACCAGGAGTGTTCCCCTCAGCTCAGTCTGTCGGCCTAGAGGTTAAGAGGTGGGTAGGGCTTTCTGACCCTGTGGCCGTGAGTCTCTTCATTCTCCTGATCAGAAGGAAGGGGGAGAGGGTTTCCAGCCCAGTGTGTTTGCAGGAAGGACATGGAGGGCAGATGTGGGGACCTGGGGGGACAGGGGGCCTCCCTCACGGCTGCAGCCTCCTGCTGCTGCCCCCGAAGGCTGGTGGCCAGGCTGGGATGATTGAGCCCACCTTTGATAACATCTTTGGCCCCTGCTCCCAGTGGCTGTGGGATTGGTGATTGGTGCGTGCAGAGTCAGACATCCTGAGATCTCTCCCTTTGAGTCACAACCTAGGTCATTCCCAGACTATCTGAGAGCACAGGCCTGGAGACCACCACCCTTGTGCCTTGTCTCTTGAAAGGAGAGTAGAGTACCCTTTCTTTACAGCTCAGTCAGCTTTGTGGGCTGTGGCCCTCGGATCATTTGGAGCTTGGACAGATACTCCTGGTGAGCAGGGACAGCATCCAAACCAGGAAGATGGCCAGTGTTGTTCTGGGGACAGAATTGGGGGCAACCTGGATGTGGGGAGCACAGGCTTGCGGAGGGTCTGCTGTCACCCCAGGCAGGTCCTCTTCCGGAGGAAGTAGAGCAGAGTTCTGCTCCGGGACGTGCAGGCCTGGTGACTACAGTTAACCTCTCTATTTTCTGTTTGTAGAAAGTCCATGAGATGCTGAAGAAGGGGTGGGATGCTGAAGGCTCTCCCTTCCGAGGCCAGCGATTCGACCCGGCCATGTTCAACATCTCCCCAGGGGCTGTGCAGTTTTAATGACCAGAGGAGAGGACACCCTCGCCGGCAGGGGAGCAGGGCCTCAGCCATGCCCCTCAGCTCCCTCCTGCCGGGGACTCGCTGTCTAGTTCACCTTTGCCATCCTATTTTTCAAGGGTGAACCCGGCCTCCACCCTGGCCCTGCGTCTCCAGACTGTTTCAGAGCAGGGCGGGGTTGTGCGGCC